GTGACAGAGAAACTGTAGTTGTAAAGCATCAGATAAACGGTTAACCACAAATGTGTCGCAAAGAAATGGAACAAAAGGATTTCCATTTAATTAGTAACAATAGATCCATCGTGTTTCACATTTTTAATCCCGCAAGGGATTGCGCTAACAGCTTTTTCAGTACAGCTGGATTACCTTTGGCCACATTTGCATAGTAGTGCGAGTGTATGCGAATGTGTCGGATGAAAAAATACTTAGAAGGAGCTCATATTTACATAAATGTTTGTTGCATTTTTATTTGAAACACAGAATTATTATGGACGCTTCGTATGTGAGAGATCCGATAAGTGCGCGATTCGTTGTTTGTATTGCGCTGATTTATTCAGAACGGAATAGCACGTTTGAAAAAATAAATCAGGCATTCAAAATGTATTTTCACTTTTAAATATATGTACACAGTGAAGATTGAAAAGCTATGTTTGTTCTGTACATGCAGCATTGATAGTAATGTTTACTTTGTAGGAAAGAAGCGTATGCTGAGTTTTTCTGCTGTTGTACACCAAGAGCTTACATTATAATAAAAAAAATTGCAAAACAAAGTAGTAGATTGCATTTGTCCAACAAAATCTTGAGCTGCTTACAACGCCATCAAACGTCATTTTCATAAATTATAAAAACCGTCATTATTTTGCGCGTTCACTTCTCAACACTTCTATATATTGAACTATTACGATGGGTCCTTATCGAGTATTGGTCTTCGTATTTCTAGCTGCATTACTAGAATTAACTGTTGGAACTCACTTTCGTGGTGGTATTATTACCTGGTGAGTTATTGCGATTTTGATAGTCATTTTGATTATGTATCGTATAGGCGAGCACTGAACACTACTCCTTCGGGTACACATGCTCAAATTCTGATTCACCAACGATATTCGTGGCGTCGTAGTTATTGGTCGAGCATGTGCACTACTACGACAATCACTAATCAGCAAATTATCGGTAGTCCCACAGGCACTTTAGATTGCAATGTTGGCTCTTGTGGCTCATTCACGTCTCTAAGTGCCGATGTTATATGTACAGATTACAGCACATTAATTGATTGTTCATCAGGAGAAGTATATGATACACTTACTCTTCCACTCAGTAGTACTTTTGTAGTGGGATTTTATGGCGGTAACTGGTTGGCATTGGCTATCGGTGGTAATTCCTATTGGCAAGTCACCGGTAAAATCGATCTTACAGTACGTCCTGATGGTTTGATTAATACTTCACCAGTTACAACTACTCTTCCAGTGATTTATCGAACTGTGGGTGTTCAACATATTCACATTATTCCAATGTCCGATGCTGATTCTACTGACACACTGCGATGTCGATGGTCAACTGATAATACACCAACATCCAATACAAACGGATACGACGAATGTGCCTCAGTGTGTGATCCGAGTCTACCTCCTGGATACACTCTCTTTCCAGACAACTGCACTCTCGTTTTTACGATCTCAAGTGTGGGTGGTTACTATGCAGTAGCTCTTCAGATTGAAGACTTCTATGCCTCAACGAGTACGACACCCATGAGTTCGGTCCCAATTCAATTTATGTTCTATGGGATAGCAGCTCCCAGTGGTTGTTCTACAGCACCTTCCATAATCGGTGTTCGACCCAATTTAGGTTTGATTTTTCATTTGTTGATGCTTATTATATTTCTTTCTTTCTCGTTCTCTCTTGTATCTGTCTTTTTTTCTAGCATGTATCGGCACACCGATAGGTAAGTAGTTGTATAAATTTTACAGAATTCTTTCGAACTGGCTTAGTCGTTAGGTGTTCTCACTAATGAGACGGTCATTGCACAGGTGGAATGTTCCGGTAAAACGATCATCGATTTCACTACGAGTTCACCCATCGGCTTAATGAAAAGTGCTATTATGAATCCTAGTACAGGTAATACATATTTTTTTGTTCTACTCTCTTTCTTTCTTGTATTTGAGATGAACATTTTTGACACGTATCCTGACTTTAGTTACCTTCGTCAAGAAAGTAAAGAATTTTAGAGAAAAAAGAAAAAAATAGAAAGCCTCAGCATTTTCTATACAGTCCAAATGGTATATGATTTTTTGCTGATTGGGTTAGACCAGAGATAGTCTTATACATAGGCATGCACCGAACCCGAACGTTCGGGTTCGGTTCGGGTTCGGGTTCTGTCCGAGAGTTCGGGTTCGGGTTCGGGTTCGGAATATATCTCAACTAGTTCATCGGTTTGGTCATCTATATATAATGTTCAGTGTGTGCGTATGTGTGTGTCTGTGCCGGATCAAACGTTAAAGATCAGATATGGCGATAAGGGGAAGACTCTCAGGACTATCATATATGAGGGTACCAATAGGTCCTCAAGAGCTGTTATATGGGGGTGCTCATAGGTCCTCTAGAGCTATTTTATGAGGGTACCGGTAGAGCCTCAAGGGCGATTATATGAGGGTATCCATAGGTCCTCAAGGGCTGTTGTATGAGGGTACTCATAAATCCTCAAGAGCTATCCTGTGGGGGTACGCATAGGTCCTCAAGAGCTATTATATGAGGGTACCCGTAGACCCTCAAGGGCTATTATATGGAAGTACCCATAGGTCCTCAAGGGCTGTTATATGAAGGTACATATAGGTCCTCAAGGGCTGTTATACGGGGGGGGGGGGGGGGCTCATAGGTCGTCAAGGGCTATTCTGTGAGAGTACCCCTGGATCCTCAAGGGCTATTATATGGAGATACCCATAGGTCCTCAAGAGCTGGTATATGGGGGTACCCATATACCCTTAAGGGCTATTATATAGGGGTACCCGTAGGTCCTCAAGGGCTATTATATAGAGGGATCCATAGGCCCATAAGGCTATAAGGGATTAGGGGATAAGGGGCTAAGACTACAGGGGCATAAGGGATAAAATTAAAAGAGTATAAGGAGATAAGGGTGTAGGGTATAAGTAGATAAGGCTGCATCGGATATAAGGGATAAGGAAATAATGGAATTAGGGTATAAGAGGTAATGCCACGATAGTATAAGGCTACAAAGGTGTAAGAGTACGAAGGTATAAGGGTATAAGGTCTCTCTCTATATATAATGCGAACTGACTGATTGTCTATTACCCAATCGAGGCTAAAGGGCAGATGCGAAACTTTACAGGAAAAAAGCATCCTTGCAGTATGCACGGGCTCTCGCTAGTAACAAATATTTTTCTATTATACATAAAATTTTTACAGTTTATCGCCCATATTCCACTGTTCTTTTAATTGTAACCGATTCCTAAACTCAAAAACAATTTTTATTTAAATTGGCTTGATTTTTTTCGTAGAGGTCTGTAAGAGATTTGTGTCAAAAGTTTGAATAATTGTTTTGCGGCTCTAATGCCATTGTTATAGAACTATCTTACCAAGAAAATAAAGGCAAGAGTCGGTATTTGTCGTTTCCATTAAAGATAATTTATGTATTAATACAGCATCCAACTTTATTTTATCAAGTTCTGTTGAAAATGACATATGTTATATCGATAAAAAATAGCAAAAGCTTAATGTACAGGTTTAACTGTTGAAGTATCGACGATGTTTCTCATTAAATCATCATGCTTCCTGAACAATGAGTTCCTTTATCTGATTTGCTATAGGAAATATGCTACTCTCATCATTTAATGAATCTATTACACTGGATAGAGGGACTCTCCAATAGGCTGATATAATTAGACAGTTATCGTATTAGTCACCCAAAAATTCTTTTCTCTTTGACAAAAACTTATTTGGAGATAAGATGTTATCCATAATATTTTGCGTCACAGAGAATTATTTCTGTGTTGTGAGCAATGGTTTTATGTAAAAAGATCAAAAATCGATTCAATTCAGTTCTGACATGCTGTTTTCCGTTATATATATATATGATATAGATCAGTAATATCTTCAGTCGTGTCCCTCCTTCTTTCACTACTTTGAGAGTGTGTGCATTGTGTTGAATAAGATATATATAAAAAATGTTACTTTTTTTTTTTTTATTAAACTACGAATAGTTTCACCTTTGATCATACGAATCCGAACCCGAACCCGTACCGAACCCGGACTCTGGGACGGAACCCGAACCCGAACCGTTCGGTCCGAACCCCGAACTATAGTTCGGGCTCGGTGCATGCCTACTTATACAATGATTGATATAATTGCTGAACATGTTACTCTCTCTCTCTAGGCATCTATACAATTAATCTTCTCTGGACTCCTTCTGCGGATCAATACGGCCCACAAGGGTTTTGTGCTGGAGCAGTCGACAATACTAATGTACAATCGGATGCATGGTGTATAACTTTCTTGGTTGGCTTCACAGCACCCAATCTTCAGACTCCACTTTTGGTTCAGGGTAGTGCTTCACCAGTGGGCACAGTGTTTGCAAACCAGACCATATTCTCTATTCAGAGTGAGAAAATCATTGTATATATATTAAATAAAATAATTTATTTTTGAAGGTGTTAATGGAATGCTTATGAATCGACCAAGTCGTAATGGAACCTATGTATACTTCAATGATGTCACATTAAATAATACAGTCGTACTCAAGTATGATTGTGGCTGGTCGCCAAATGTTATATATTCGGGCAGCACAATGGTTATCTATGCGCCTTTTGCCTGGGTACCAGGTCATAATTACTTTGTAACATTCGACAGCGGTTAGATTCTTTACATCATCTCACAACGTATCTAAATTCATTGTGTTTTTAGGAGCAGCGAGTGGTAACAGTTTTTGTCGTAAGTCACATTTTGTTTTATTGGTCCAGTTAAAATGGGAGAACTTTTACATAGATGCCGAATCAGCACCAATTACTAGTTCGACTTTTTGGGTTTTCGATATCTGGAACCCAGCTGTTTCGAGTACGACAACAACGACAACAACGCCACCCACGACTCATACAGTGACTAGCCGAGTAAGAATAAGATTTCACTATTAGATTTTGTTTTTGAGCTTGATTACTTCAGCCTCTTAGCACGACGACACCTTTAGCCAATTTAACAACGACAGGAATCGTTATTACTACAACGAATGCTTCTCAGGTTACAATGTCTACTACAACAATTACAACAACTACTACAGTATCAACCGCAAGTGAATATCTCTTAATCAAGAGAAAATCAGTTGTTGTTTCATGAAAGTGACGAGAGAAAAAACCCGAAGGATGAGTATTGGCATAGAAAACGAAAATGTCTGCGAATAGTTTTTTTCCTAGCAGTTCGATATGTTATATCGAGAACTCAAAGAAGGAATACTCCATGTAAAGAGTTTTCGTTGAACCATAGAAACTACTTAACAAAAACCAGACATATTTCTCCTAACAGACATTTCTTGATTATGACCGATTCCGGAAGACTGTCAGTCCGATAAAGGATTTTGTGCTAAGGAGTCATGTGGTAAAATGACTAGCGGAATGAGACCAGTAGGAGTCAGTAGATTGTGTTTTGTTATAGTTCTTCCTGTCTTATTTTGTTATTCATGAGATAACTATGCATTTTAGACAAAGAGAGAAAAGAGTGGTCGCTCATGTGTCAGAATATGACTTTTCTTGGTAGACTGACTGCCTTTGTTCATAAATTTCTTCCCAAGCATCTACAAGTCATCAGATGTGTGACATCGTTTTAAATAGAATGCCTGCCAGTATGTAGTGTTCGATAAGAATACAAAAAAAAATCAACAAGATTCGTCTCCATCCGTTGTTCTTCTCGAGTCATAACAGTTTTAATGAAACTTTTGGCTTCTGACAAGGTAAAAACAATCCCACTGCGTGACGATATGTTGATATGAAATTTGCCCAATAGATTCCTCTCATTAATATTAGAAACTCATGAATATAGCAGTCCAAAATATGTTTTCGTCATAACTTATCAAATCTTTTAGATACTCAAACCTTTAACTTTTCTTTATGATGCATCATTGTTATGTTAGTGTGCGCTGTCTCAAGCTTTAAACTTTTCTTCCACTAATAATAACAATATGTTACAATAACGATCACACCTATTTATGAACAAAATATCACTTCACAATTTCTTACTGTACTCTTTTTGTATTTGCCTTGCTAGAGGCCAAAATATTTGGTTAAGCGGACGCTACTCAAAAATGACACTGTATGCGAATGAATCTTTTTGGATGGTGTACATCTGATTCAAAACGATGTGTTACCCTCAATGAAAACCACTCGTTAAGATAAGCTTGTATAATTTTCTAGTCTGCATCTTATCCATTCCTGACTGATTCTGACAGGTTTTACTCTGTCAAAACTGTACCTAAGAAACGGAGCGACAATTTTCAAAGCTCTACACTTAGGATCACTAAATCAATCGGTGAAGATTGGTCTAGTTTTTGGTTAATTGAGTATCGTTAGAAAAACTGATTTGGTCTAGCAGAGGGATTCACAACCTCTGTCGATACCAGCCTTAAAAAACTCCCATCAATTAGAATATGAAACTTTAGTTCGATCTAGTAGTAAAATATGACAGAACAGTCGATAAAAGCGCATTGTGAATTCATTTTCTTAGCTGCAAAATAAACGACATGCTTCTGATAGCAATTCTATGAATTAAGAACTTCATAACCAATGTTATTAGAGTCTGATCTTCAACTGTCGTTGGAAATATATAACTTCTCGCCGCGTTTTCTTTCATCTCTAGATAATAATGTTATTTCTATCGTACAAAGAACTATATAGCTGAAAGAAAGTTTTGTAGCTTCATATAATCAAACATGCTTCATGTCATTTTATAATTCTTCTATATTTAACGGACTATAAGACAATTTTCTGTCAAACATATTCTAAAGCAGGTTCGAGGCTATCAAACGACGAGATTGGGTATGCTTTGTGATAATTTTTTTCAAATGCTCCTACCCTTGTTAAATCTATTCATAGAGAAGTATGTTAACGAAAAGGCAAGTGAACTAACTATAAAGAGTGAGCTAGATATTTTCTCAGTGGTAGAGTAATCTTCAAAGTTTTTATTCACAAGAAAACTATTAACAGATACTGGATTGAACTAAAACTATTGACTTTAATCCAAAAGAGCAGTAATAGATGAGCATTTGCCTGACCAGGATCTAAGATATTTTTAGGACAAGAAGCATGACATTTTTAGCACATATGTTACACTAGAGATGTATATGAATCAGACCCACCCAGCCTCGAACTCTTGAACTAAGGAGAACTCCTAATGTATGATACCTCTACTCATCATGAGAACCACGACTCAAAGAAGAAGTACCATGCGACTCAGTCAGTCTATCATACTGTTGCCCTTCTTGGTTGACTCAATCTTAAGCTCCTTCTCTTTTTGAATCATACGATTTAATCATGAGAAGAATCGACATACATCAGAATATACTCTTGAACTCAAGCCATTGATATCAAGCTGATCTTATCGATCAACATTTCTAACACTGGATATGCTAAACATTTCACACTTACAGCTCTAACGATATCTTAGATTCAAACTAGATATACTTTTGACCCATTATTGCACTTTTTGATGGGAATCCGTAGTGTTAGCTCAACTGAATCTCTGTTAACAGTTTTCTTATGAATAAAAGCTTTGAGGAGTACTCCTCTATCACCGAGAAAATAATTAATCCAACTGGTTAGAGCAAAATAGAGGCATTTAATTTTTTCTCGTACGGCTGCTTGTAGCGCATCCAACTTAAATGAAATTTCAAGACATCTAATCTTGAATATACATTGATGTATCTTAAGTCAGACTTATTATTTTGTGATAAAAGGGGTAGTATCAAGCATAATTTGACACACAGCTAGTAAAGAGAGCATTGATCAGTCGAGTCATTTATAATTCTGCGTTTCAGCTGGGAAAACTGGTTGACATAAACGAATATGATTTTTCTAGCGGTGACAACTACTTCAACAACAGCACCCATGACCGAAGTAAATATCATGACACCTAAAGATTTTGAAGAAGCTTGCAAGCAGCCGGTCGCAATTGGCACTGCTGCCACCATGCTTTTTATGGCTCCGCTACATGTTATTGGAATGTTTACTATTTTCACAAAACTGGACAAGATGTACAATCCTAATCGTCTTATGGCTGATTGTCGACAATTATACTATAACAAACGACTCATGTCTACTCGATAAAAGAACATTTCTACAAAGTATACATTAATTATAATTTTGCTTATCGAATACATACACTAAAACATATCTTAAAGCTGCTTTTCAATGTGGGTGTGAGTATTGATGTCGTTCTGAGATATGAGTCGTGGTATTTTGTCTGGATTGGGTCGTTCGAGTGAAATGCGAATGTGCGTGCTTATGAGTGTGGAATGTGGATTGTAGCTGTTGGTGGGGGTGAGGGAGTGTGCTTTTGAATGAATGGACGACTCTGATCCACACATATACCGACATTCACAGCCTTGTTAATCATCTTCTGTTTTTTTTCTGATTGCTCACTTCTACTCGTTCTACTGTGCTCTAATACAGCTTTCACCATTTTTATGGGTCGAAAGAGCAATACTTGTTGTGATTTTATTTTCAGTAAAATGCTTCTTACAGATTCGATAATTAGAGTTTATAGAGTATTTTTGTGGCGCATTCAATAGGAGGTTCATCAACTATTAGAGCAAATCGATCATATTAACAGGATTGAATGTTTTAGCTAGTTTACGATTGCGTACCCAAAGGACGTAATCTCGAGCGACAAGGCCAAACATGTAGACTACATCAGGTAATTCGTCGAAGAAAACTTTCAGTGTGTAGTTTCTCGTCCAGATTAGAGATGGACTTGGTGTTGTGTATTGAGCTACGATTTGATTTCCTTGTTGCTCGTCAACGAAGTCCGTTGTCAATGAGCCATGGTTGTGTTCAATCCATAACTCATTTCCGTTCCATTCGATCAGAGACATTTGACTTAATGGTCGCACGGTTTGATTGATTGTTCCTTCAGTCCACTGTTGTGATTGAATGTCCAATGTTTCGAATGTGCCTTCGTACAGAAAATAAGTCATCTTGTTCTTGAGTCGAGCTACAACTTGTTTCGATGGATAAGTAATAAGCTCGATCGAATGCAATTCATTCAAAACATATTCAATACGATATAGAAGAGTTTGCCCATTTTGATCATATATCGAAAATTCTGGTGCTTTGACATCATCTAACAAATCTTTTCGAATTTGATATTCTCGTAGAGAAGTCAAACAAACAGTGGGACTAATAAGTAAAACTAACAAAGTACATATTATTCTCGATTCTTGTGAAAAACGAAACGGCATTATGTGTTATAAAAAGCAACGTAGAACTACACTATTAGTACAAATCATCCAATAAATCTTACTTTGAAACTTATTTTATTCTGTACAATTAGAGAGTTATTCATCTCGCTGATGAATAGTTTCTCCTAGGACAAGTCGGATTGTTTCTCATTGAAGACATAAATGGTTGGCTGAATGAAATTGTCGAGGGTACCACCCACAAATCAATGTTTGCTTCACAGGTGTACTTTATTGAATGTATATTTGATGTCATATTTATTGAATAACGGATTTTGTTTGTCGTGCAATAAATATTATTCGTACTTGAAAAATTAGTAGTATGACAGAGTGAATACAATTTTGAAGTCAGATAAGTAGTTCTTCATTGCACGTAAAGCATTGAAACTGACACTTATGAAAAGATACTTAGTGAATGA